CTAATTATATTTACAGATAGGATGCTTTAACAATGTTTCCAAAACTTGCCAATCTCCACCTCAAAGTAGTTTACTTTTTCCTGTGTCTATTAATAAACATGTGGACTATTTTCAATTTGCTGTTGTGCCACTTTCTCCATCAGTTCAAATAACCCTTTTCTTCCCTGAGCTTTCCTTTCAGAAGGCATTTATGGTCAGCAGTCACGTCCCCTCTCAATCTTTGATTTTCCAAGCTAACAAACCAGACTCATTCCCTTTCCACTTCTGTAATCCTTTTCTCTGCCTGTTCCCAGGCTCCCCTCACTTGAACACTGTTGCCCCGGACAGCATGAGCTGGACCTTGCAGCACTAATCTCTTCATCTTTATCCCATGACACTCAAAATTGCCTTCAACTAATGCACTTCACTAGCAAGGTGCTGTCCTGCCCCCACCAAATCTCGTATGCTTTGTCCTCTCCCACCTCCTGGCTTGCAGCTGATGGTGTCCCACAAGGGAGCAGAAGCATTCACAGCTCACCCCTCAGGTGCTGTTCTTTGGCACACAGACAGAGGCACGAGCAGGCCAGCAGGGCATACCTGCAGTGCTGCAGTCTCATTGGGTGCTTCTGCTTTAAGTTATTTGGGTTGGTTTGTTTGTTTGTTTTTCCTTCCTTCAGTTGTTTTTGTTTGGTTGCTTGCTTCTTTGGGGGGAGGTTGTTATTGTGGGGGCAGGTTTTTGTGGGTTGGTTTGGGGTTTTTGTGGATCCTATCTTTTTTACACAAAATGTTTAAACTACTTCAAATAAACACCCAAGCTTCAGCATTCTTATTTATGCAGTCTACAAGAGTTCCTTGCATTTAAACACCTCAGCTGGAGGGGAACAAATGGAATAACATCTATCCAGATTGTTAATACAGGTCCCAGAAGGGTGTGAAGGAAACACCAGAATGAACACAGCTGAGCAGCAAAGTTCCTACCAAGTGCCCCTGCAGAGGCTTCCAGCCCAGCAGTCTCCACAGAGACATTCCTGTGGTCTCTAACAACACCACCTGATACAGCAGGATACTTTTATCTGGCTGGCTTGTACCTGAGCTGCAACAGGTTCAACCACAGATAATAACTGTGCCACTGTAGTGTGACCATCTAGACAAGCCTGATGCAACTGAATTAGCCTGTTGCTCTGAACAGAAGAGCACAGTTTAGATCACATAAGCAAGACTGAATTAACATGATATCTACCAGCAGTGGTCAAGTCCCTGTTGACACAGGCCTGGAAAGAGGTAGACAGGCCAGAAGAAAAAATTAAGAACCAAGAAAGAGAATTAATTACAATTACGGAAAGGAAATTTAAACAAAAGGTTTGTATTTCTGAGAGAACTTTAGATAATTGTCATAAGCAACTGACTAATAGAAGTATGAACAGCTACTTTCAGAACTGCAGAGACAAAATCAGCAATTTGCTAAACATGTCACAGCTTCTTTCTGTTTAACAATTGCAGGGTATTAGCATTTGTAAATGTAGAAAAATAAGCTTATGAACAGCTCTGTGTGCTTGCTCCCTTGAAGAGCCATGCTCTCAACATCAGAATATGAAACTATAATAGTAATAAATACAAAAAAATAATTCAAACACTGCATAAATTAGAAGTAATAGACACCAGAGCTGGACACGTCCTACCCAAACACTGAAGTATCAGCAAATCACAAGGGGCTGGATCACAGTTCCTTCCCTGCTAACAGAGTTCATATTAGATTTTCTTTCCTAATTTCCCAGCAGCGTAAAAGAGTTTGAAACAAGGGCAATTTCCTTAAGTCTGCTGGAGACAATATTGTCTCAGACACAGGCAAGTCCCAGTTTAGTTGTCTGGCATCCCCTTAGTTGTGCAAAGCCCACTGTTCACTGCTCAGTCCCACTTGGTCTGAGAGGCAAGGAGGATGGGTCAACCTTAAGTGCAAGGCTGTGCAAGGAAGGAGGGTGAGCACTCAGCCTGCTCACCCCCACCCATCCCACTGCCCTTGGTCAGGACCTGCAGGATCAAAAGGCTCATCGACAAAAAGCCAATCCTTAAAAAGCTCCATCAGCTCCTTAACCCTATGTATCAGCACAGTCCTATACAAAACCAGCTTCTCTCAAACATCAGGAGCAACATGCTAATTCCTGGGGACATGCACACACTTTCTCTTGTCACACACTGCTGGGAACTGCCACCTCTGACACTGTCCAGCAGGGACTTCAGCTCTCTCCATACCCTCAGAATGAAAGTAACTGTCACTGTCAGTGTCTTGCTTAGGTTGAAGAGACAAATGGTAAGCCCTGAAGGACTGTCAGGGAAAATAATTAATCCTGTCTGGTCCTGAATGAAAGGCAAATAAATTAAGCCATAGAATCCTTCTGGTCTAGGATTCCTGCTAATTATGTCTTCTACTTGAGATGATTATCACTTTGCAGACTCATCACTCAATAGCTGTTCATGGATTACTGGACTTTGTGCTAATGGATCATTATCCAGCCTTCACACCACTAGCAGGATAAAGACATCATGCTGCTCTACAACAACATGCACCTCGAGTCACAGAGCACGGATCAGACTTTCACTTGAAGTGGAATAGTAAAACTGCAAATAAGCATCCAAAATGTTGCTGCTCCAGTTATACACTCATGCTAGAGAGCTGGCAGGCATTGACCAGGACAATGCAATAGTGCTCCCACTCAGCAAAGGCAGCCCTGGGAGACAACTCTCTGCTTCCACAATGTCAGAGAGAACTCAGAAGGAACATGAACCCTCCAAGATCAGTGGCATCACACGAGTAGCCTGGCAAATCCTAGGAAGGAATTTCTGATTCATGTGAGAAGCAGAACAGCTTTGTCTGGAGATGACAGGCTCACCAATGTGAACCATCTTCCCAGTAACACATGTCCCAGCTGCAACTCACTGATGAGTTAAATATGACAATGCTGCTGTCAGACTGTTAACAGAAAAGTTAACAACTTTCTTCTCATGTCCCAGATAGAACTAACAGTGCCCATGGGCAATCAAAAAAAGAAAGTACAGGTGAAAATGGTGTTATCTCTGACCAGGCTTTCGTTAAGAAGATTCATAAACTGCCAAATAATTAATTTTCCCACTAAACCATTAACTTCATTGACAGTGACATAACCACAGTGACAAAGATTCCAGGCCAGGCCAGCTCCTGAATCCTGATGGTCCCTCCCCCACGACAGGAGCAAGAGCTGGGGAGGAAAAGCTGCCCAGCAGAGGGAGAAACCTGCCTGGGAGCACGGGCACTAATCGAGCTGATAGATCAAGTTTCAAGCACACAAAAAGAGGTCCTGAAAGGGCAGTATTTTATGTCAAAATGCTTTCAGAGTATTTCCCAACTTTGCTATTGGACGGGTATTTCAACAACACTGAAGCACGATCACTGCACGTGGTCTGTACTGGCAAGAGACTAAGATGTGAGGGGTTGATGGGACTAACCAGGGATCCCTGTTACACATCCACGTTTGCACAAACACCTGACCAGTACTTGGAAGTCAATCTTCTCCTGACACGTTCAACTCCCCCTCGCTAACAGCTCAGAAGGCGCCGGTTTCATAGAATCATAGAATCTTAGGGGCTGGAAGGGACCTCGAGAGATCATCTAGTCCAACCCCCCTGCCAGAGCAGGGTCACCCAGAGCACATCACACAGGAACTCATCCAGGTGGGTTTTGAATGTCTCCAGTGAGGGAGACTCCACAACCTCCCTGGGCAGCCTGTTCCAGTGCTCTGTCACTCTCACAGTAAAAAAATTTTCGGATATTCACCTTGAACTTCCTATATGCTCCAATTTACACCCATTACCTTG